CCCCAAAACCCCAAAACCCCAAAACCCCGTAAGTACGAATCGAGCACGTATTAAAAAATAGTCATATTATAATTTAATTAATGAACGATAACCACTTTGAATAAAATCTGGCATCAGATAGACCTGAAAACAGACATCCGAATGTCGAGGGATAGCGTGAAAGTTCTGCTTTTCTCGTTAACGATTAGCATAATGGACCACTAAATGGCAAAATTCAGCTTTTCAAAGAGGACAGACTTCTAGATTTAGTATAACTAGAAGAAATAGAACCAATTAGTAATTAATATTTTGGACAGCTAGTCTTGGATTCATTTTCATAAGATAAGGGTCTTATCATTGGTAGAATTTAAACAAGAGATCGTGTGAATTTCAAAAGGTCCTTTTATCATAATTTCTACGCTCCTAATCTTATAAAACTGCTTTTCAAGACCCCATTTTTGTTCACGGATGAGATGCTAATCAGCAGATACCACCCTAATATTCCACTTACTGTGCGTAACCCTCTTACGAATGAGATTGTAGTTGGTGAAGTTGAATTCTTTTTATTAAGCGCAGAATAAAAATCTAAAATTAATAATAATATAGATAATTAGATGCTTGATAATATCCCCAATAGTAATAGTAACAATGTAGGCAATGTTTTAAATAATGACATTGAGCTGAGAGCTAAATTTATTGGAACAGATTTCAATTATGCAATTTAGTAGGACTTTAGAATATAATTTTTGGAAAACTCTATGGAATAGGAGCATGCGAAAATGCATTTGGGAGGAGAAATAAATAAAACATTGCTAAATAATTCTGAATTTCAAATATTTGCATAGTAGTTGCTCAGGACTCAACAGAATAATCTTGGGCCTCGGGCCATGTGGACTTAAATCTAGCACAGAAAGAAGACAATATGTTTCCATGGAGCAATACTTTGCTTCTACATTATTGCTGCAATTACAACATTTGCTTTAGGAATATATGGTTTCAGTTAACTAGGCAAAGACTCTGATTCAAACAATGCAGTTGGATCCAAAATTGGTGCCTCTAATAATAGTTCTGGGAATCCGATAGATGTTAAGTAATCGAGCAAATCTTAAGATAACTCAGAGGATGAAGCAAGAATGAATTTTAATATCTTCACTTATACACTACCGTTTGTAGCATTCATATTAGACCATTCCACTAAAAGAATAAAAAATTTGAACGAAAAGACAATTTTTGTATTCATAAAAGTTATTCTAATAATTTATTATTTGGGGGCTTACGTACTTGCTTTACAAAATCTTGACTCTGAGATATACTTTATAATTTGCAATGTGAATTTTATAGTATTTCCAATAATAACAGCAATATACGGGTACTTTCTAAGGAAAAACACATTTGCATGAATTATCTTAAACGATCATGAATATTAACTGTAAAATTTATGCAAACTCTAATTCGTAAATTTTTATTATTTGCACATAACTAAAATTTATTTTTCATTACAAAGTAGTAGTTATCTGCTTTTTCTCACAATGTTCGATTTAGAGTCTTCGGGGTTTTGGGGTTTTGGGGTTTTGGGG